ATATATATATATATATATATATAGGGTCTATACCATCTGCACTGCAAAAAGCCTTGAGGAAAACATTGAACAATTTATTAAATTGCATTTTTCAAATTACAAGGCATAAGGGCATAAGTGAGTAATTTTTAGCTTTAAGCAAACATATATGAAGTACACAAAACCAATGTTTTGTCTCTGCTTGTCAGACAGGCCCCCTCCCTCTCGGTTTTCAAATCCTGTTTAAAAACTCACTACTATTCAGTAGCTTTCAAAACCAGAGGATCTGTGTTTTGAACCTGTACGCTCCACACTGGTTTGTCCTCATATTTATTATCTGCATCGTTTTTATGTCCATATTTTTGATTTACTTCATTTTGTATATTGCTTCGTGTGTTGTCTATTGTTCTGTCTGTACAGCACTTTGGTTGGCCTTGTAGCTGTTTTAAGTGCTCTATAAATAAAATGGTATGGTAATGTTGCATAAAAGATCTGCCTTTTGTTACACCCACATTAAACTAACTTTAATTTTTTACTTGTGTTATTACAGTTGATTGTAGTGAAAGTGTTTTTTGCTTTAATGACACATCTCTCCTTTGCAGATGGCTCTGTGCTCTCATTGGAATGGTGGTGGTTGGGTTCAGTGTATTATGTGTGAGTATGAGGGAAGCTTATTATGAGCATAAATGTCATAAATACGTTTACAACAACAGGAACGTCTCATCCTGATATTGTCATTCCTGTTATTTTTTACAATAGACTTACAGGCAACTATGGTTTTTTTCCACTATTGTATAATAATTACAAGTGTAAATGTATTATAATAGATTTTTTTTTTAAATTATGTATTTCTTTTTTTAGGTTCCATTTGCCAGTGACATCTATGGTTTAATTCTTCCAAACTTTGGTGTTGGTTTTGCTATTGGTACGTCTATTAAAATTACTGATTTTACTGCTGAATAGTCTATTCATGAAGAGGCAGTTATTACTGATAACTTTGTGTTACAGGAATGGTAGATTCCTCTATGATGCCTATAATGGGTTACTTGGTGGACCTGCGACATGTGTCTGTGTATGGAAGTGTGTATGCCATTGCTGACGTGGCGTTCTGTATGGGATTTGCTTTAGGTAAGCCAGAAACTCATTTACTCATACACATACCAAAAAATAAATAAAATGAAATAAAAACACAAATATATTGCGCACATTATATGCTTTTACTGCTTTGAATTTTTAGTCATATTTTAAATTACACTAATTTTTATTGTTGTACTTTTTTCTTTAACATTAGTTTGATATTGAGCAAGATAATCCCTATTTGCTCCCCAGTCGTTTACATAGCTGCCTACTGCTCCATCTGGGTGTATTTCACATGTGATGGGTTAAATGCAGAGAACTAATTTCATCATTGTATGGGAACATACAATGATGACAACCCATAGCACTTACTTACTTACTTGCTATAAAACACATGCCTGTTCCGTATGCTACACAGGCTAAACCTGATGTTAAATTATATCTATGTTGGGTACTGGAACTTATTAGATTCTTACTCACTGTCAAACTGCTGATTATGGAGTTGTTCAAAAACACTGGCTGAAAACTACATCAATTATGTCTAAAGCAAGAACATTGGTTGCATATTGTAACCCCAGATTCTTTGAGTATATGCGCAGCCCTTTAAGGCTATAACTAGGGGTAGCGGCAGCGGTTTTGGCAATAGGAAAGCTGCCAGCTTGAAGGATTACTCAATGCTTCGAGCTCTCAGACTAATGTGCTTTGCCAGCTGAACCATAAGTTAGACACGATTTCTGAGAATTGTGGGCCACTTGAAGCTCCTAGGACTTGCTGGCATGAAGGATTCGACTTTGGAGAAAGCTAACAAGCACAAACCAGTGGAATATCCACAGATTTGGCTGTTAGGGTTCACCATTGCGTGTACCAGCAGAACTGAAGGCAGACATGTCAATAGAGTCTGCCTGCCTAAAACAATTATTGTTTATCTGAATTTGGCCTTCCCGCTGGCCTTGAATAAACTAAGAAGCTCTGCCTGGCTGTCCCCCTCCCAAGGATATCTGTGGCCTTATCAGAATTGTGCTGCTGATAGACAGTGTACTATCATATCAGAACTTTGGAACTTTCTGGAGTGTTTATGGTATAGTATAAAGTTTATTCATTTAAAAAAAGTACAAAACAATTCCATAACAATGTAAAAAAAGATACAAAAGGTCCAAGAGTGTTCATGAACAAGTCACCACCTTGGTTGACCTTCTATGCATAAATGTATTATGATGTAATTGTATGTTGCTGGGGCAGCACGGTGGTGCAATTGATAGAGCTGCTGCCTTTCAGCGAGCAGGTTCCTGGTTCAAATCCCGGTATGGGGTGGAGTTTGCATGTTCTTTCCATGCATGCATGGGTTTTCTCCGGGTACTCTGGTTTCCTCCCACAGACCAAAAACATGCATGTTAGGCTGATTAGTAACTCTAAAATTGTCCCTAGGTGTGAGTAAGAGAGTGAATGGTTGTTTGTCTTTATGTGGCCCTGTGATGGACTTGCGACCCGTCCAGGGTGTACCCCGTCCCTCGCACAGTGATTGCTGGACATGGACACTGGCGACCCCTGTGACCCAAAATGGAAGAAGCGGGTAAAAGATAATGGACGGATGGATTGATGGATGGATGGATGTTGCTGTTTATGTTACGAGGTCTTTTTCTTTGCATTTTTTACACTGTGGCCCGGCCAGGACATGGAGTGAGACATGCTTTTTTTACTTCCTCCACCCTGTTGTTCTCTTTTCCTCATCTACTCTGTATGTTGTTTGTAACAGGTCTCTCTAGTAAATGAGTCCCTGAGATTCACTTGAATTCAATTCAATTCAGTTTATTTATATAGCACCAAATCACAACAAATTTGTCTCAGGGAACTTTCCAGGAGCATTCACATACATAGAAAAGCCAGTTAGTAAAGTTATCTATCTAAAGAAACCAGCAGACAAGTTGAATCTTGGCTTCGTTTCAGTCTCCCATCCTGCGCAAGCACAATGGCAACAGTGGAAAGGAAAAACTCCCTTTTAAAAGGAAAAAACCTCCAGCAGAACCAGGCTCAGGACAAGCAGCCATCTGCTTTGACCGGCTGGGTTGAGAGGACAGAAAGGAGAGAAAAACGTACAGAGAATAGTAGGTCCAGATATAGGTCCAGGTGTATCTGAAAGACAAAAAAACACATGTTAAATATAGAAAAAATAACAAAACAGGTTGAGCAGAGTACGTAAAGACAGTAGCAGAGTGAAAAGAATGTGGTCAGTTTGTCCTACAGCAGTCTAAGCCTATAGCAGCATAACTAAGAGACAGCTCAGGAAACCCAAGCCGACCCTAACTATAGGATGTAGCAAAAAGGAGAGTCGTTGGTTACGTACTGTAACCCCAGATTTTATGAGTATAGGCGCAGCCCTTTAAGGCTATCGCTAGTGGGTTTAGCCCTTCGCACGCAGTGCAGCACTGAAAACTTTAGTCCGCACCCACCAGCTGTGTGGGCCCCACCCCCGATTCGTATAAATTACAGTGAAACCAGACAATGGGCTCCCAAATAGCTTTTTTCTTCAGCCATTTAGGAACCAGTGAGGTCTAGAGCTTAAAGGGCTGTGCCTATACTCATAGAATCTGGGGTTACAGTATGTAACCAATGTTCTATTTTGCATAGGCTTCGCCCTTTAAGGCTATTGCTAGTGGGTTAAAGGTGAAGCAGGATGTAGTCTATGCCTCACTGGGTCCATCCAGACACAAACATGAAGCACCTGCTCGCAAAAAACACATTTCATCACTCAGCCCTCTATGTGCGAAATTACGCACTCCATGCGCAGCAGCGCACCTGTCTCTCCTTCCTGTCCTCTCAACCAGCCGATCAAAGCAGATGGCTGCTTGTCCTGAGACTGGTTCTACTGGAGGTTTCTTCCTTTTAAAAGGGAGTTTTTCCTTTCCACTTTTGCCATTGTGCTTGCTCAGGATGGGAGACTGCAACGAAGCCAAGATTCAACTTGTCTGCTGGATTCCTTAGATAGAGAACTTTACTAATTGGCATTTAGCACTTTGGTAACAGTTTCTGTTTTAAATGTGCTCTATAAATAAATCTGACTTGACTTGACTTTTATGTATGTGAATGTTTCTGTAAAGTGCCCTGAGACAACTTTGTTGTGATTTGGCGCTACATAAATAAACTGAATTGAAATGAATAGAAAAGAATGATCTCTGGTGAGAGAACGGCTGAGATAACAGACCTGCTGCTGTGAATAGGAACAACGGCGGTTACAAGTTGTAACAATGTAACGATGAGCAGAGCAGGCCAACAACTCCATAGGATGAACAGATTAATAACAATAACATCAGTAATCATGAACTGTGACTGATAATAAATATCTCACACTGCGACTGCGTGCAGCCTGATGTGAGCCCAAAATGAGGCTCCATGAAAAAAATAATAATCATTCTGTTAGAACCCTGAGATGAGAATGGGTCATGGAGAAAGTGGAAACATCACATAGATAAAAACAAATAAATGAACATGGAGATGACCAGGCAGCTGCCGTACAAATATTCTCCACTGTCATCCCTCCATGCAGAGCCGTGGAGGATGAAATCCCTCTGGTGGAATGCGCTCTGAGATTCTCCGGAGGATCCAGCCCAGATGAAATGTAAGCGTCAGAAATAGCCTCACACAACCAGTGTGAGAGGTGCTGAATGGATAGACGACATCCTGCAGAGCTGTCCCTGTAATGCACGAACAGATGCTGAGAGCGGTGCAGTGTAGCTGTGTATGCCACGTAACACGAGAGCACTCGCATGGGACAGAGGAGGTAAGATGTTGCTTCCTCCTCAGAATTATGAGGACGCAGTACAGCAGAGCTGCTGTCATCTTGAATTCTGAGACATGAGGGGGCAACAGAGAGAGCAGATAAATCACTCACCCTCTTTGCAGATATCAGAGCTAACAGCAGGGCTGTTTTAAATGACAGAAATTTAAGTGAAACCTAATCTAAAGGCTCAAAAGGAGCTTTAATCAGAGCGCGCAAAACCATCACTAGATCCCACTGGGGGGGCTAGTGGACATGACACAGGTCTGTGTCTCTGTACACCTTTCAGAAAACGTTTCATCAGCGGGTGGTTAAAAACTGTTCTGTCACCGAAACCCTCATGACAGGAAGAAATAGCTGTAGCATAAGTTTTAATTGTGCTGAACGCTAAATTTCTGTCCATCAGCTGTTGCAGAAATGACAGCATGCCACCTAGTGGACATAAGATGGCCTCCACGCTTATGTCTGCATACCATCGCTGAAAAGCTGTACACTTTGATATGTATAACGCTGTGATGGAAGCGGCTCATGCGCCCTGGATCGTACACACTACATCCTGCGAGGCCCAGCCTTTCTAAGCGGATCCATTCAGCAGCCAAACCCAGAGGTGCTGACCTACTTCTGGGTAGATCCTGATTGCTCCTCCTGCCTGGAGGCGTGCGTCCTCCCTCCACAGCAGTTTCCACAGCCAGCCCAACACCAGTTGCTGCAGGTTCAGGAACCATGGGGCACTTTTGCGCTCGGGAGCTAGGAGAATGACTGACAGCTTTTCCTTCTGAACTTGGTTCAAGGTCTGTGAGATCTGCGGAACTGGAGGGAAAGCATAAAGGAGCATTTTTGGCCACGAGCTGTGAGCAAAAGTGTGAGTCATCCCGTGGGCTCAGTGAGAACCATAACTGACAATGGGCGTTCTCCCGTGTGGTGAACAGATCCACTGCAGCTTGGCTGAACCTGCTCCAGATCCGAGAGATCAGCTTGGGATGGAGGCTCCAGTCCCCGTGGCCAGGACCGCCCCTCGACATGATGTCCGATCCTCTGTTCAGGACGCCGGGAATGTACACTGCTCTGATGGAGAGCAGGTTTCTGTGTGCCTAGCACAGCAGCTGTCTCACGATGTGTAACAGTTGCGCTGTGTGCACGCGTCCCTGATGTTTATGTAGGCTGCTGTCACTCTGTTGTATTTGTGGATCAGAACATGATGATCCCGCAGCACAGGAGCAAAATGCTGAGTCACTTTCCAGACTGTGAGAAGCTCCAGCACATTTATATGAAGAGACAT